CTGAGTACAGAACTGTCTTTTGTACAGCTTAAATGTGGCAGGGCTTATCCTGATCTGTGGTGGCAAGGAGTTAAACACTCTCAGCTGTGTGTGATGGGACATGAAACTGTCCCTGACAATTTAACCCAGGGCACATGGAGTTTTAACTCACTTCAAACATGCCCCAGAGATGCTGTTTTCCCACCCGCATTTGGGGGTTTATTGCATGCAACTCTCATTCCCATAATCTTATTCTTAGGACAGCTGAATTCCTAAACCTACAATATACTTAAATACTTAACCTTTGTTATAAGCAACATGTGGTCTGGAACTTGGCAAAACAAATGTCACATGACTGTTTTCTTTTATATCATAACAATGTTATGATTCTATTTCCATCTAGTTTCCTGCAATCAAATCAAAGGAAATGCAGTTTGATAGTACCTAATGTGCTTTACTTTAGCATTCAAATTACCTAAGGAAATTTCCTGTTGCAGTAGAGTATTTCTAATGGCAAATGTATGACCTTTGTGGAATTGGCTGTAAACAAGTGAAGTTCAGGTTGCTGCAATGTGAAAACTGTTTTCCATATAGATATATATATAAAACATATGGTGGGAGAGATTAGATGACAAGAGCCAGTTATCCTGCCATGTAGTAACTTTCCATTACTCCATTCCGGTTTGGCCAATGTAGTCCCTACCTAAAAGAATAAATGGACACAAATCAGACTTCAAGAATTATAACATTCAAAAACCAGTTGGAGAACACTTCAGTCTCCCTGGCCACTCGATTACAGACCTAAAAATCTCAATATTACAACAAAAAAAACTTCAAAAACAGACTCCAACAAGAAACTGCTGAATTGGAATTAATTTGCAAATTGGACACCATTAAATTAGGCGTGAACAAAGACTGGGAGTGGATGGGCCATTACACAAAGTAAAACTATTTCCCCATGCTTATTCTCCCCCCCCTCCCCCCAGTTCCTCATATCTCCTTGTCAATTGCTGGAAATGGGCCATTTTCATTACCACTACAAACAGTTCCCCCCCCCCTCCTGCTGATAAAAGCTCAACTGATTACTCTCCTTGTAGTGTGTATAGTAACACCCACTGTTTCATGTTCTCTGTGTGTGTATATATATCTTCCTATTGTGTTTTCCACTACATGCATCCGATGAAGTAGGCTGTAGCCCACGAAAGCTTATGCTCAAATAAATTTGTTAGTCTCTAAGATGCCACAAGTACTCCTGTTCTTTTTGTGGATACAGACTAACACGGCTGCTACTCTGAAACTCTGTAAAATGTAATTCATATCATGACATTGTTCACAGTGTGAATCAAGGAAGGTACCATATTTTTATGTCTTCAGCTGTTAAATGTAGTCTTTCTTATTGTGGTTCTACTTACATTTCTTAGTATCTAGGTTTTTAGAACTATACTATTTATGAGAACTGGAAAGGGGGAAAAATAGACTTTTTTTATTCCCCCTTTGAAACAAAACTTATTTTCAAGTCTCTAGGAAAATGCATTTAATATGGCTGTGAGTCACATGCATTTGAGTTGATGACTGTATTGGAAATAATGCTCTTTCTAGTTACATTTTATAAACACTCTACCCAGTCATTTGGAACACATCTATGGTTCCTAAAGATGTTTGCTAACCAACTAAAAACAAACATTAACCAGAGCCAAAGGGTCTGAATAAAACACTGTTGTTTTTCCTTTCTAGAAATGTGAAGCAGGAGATTTTTTCAAGGGAAAAATATGTCATGTTTGTGAACAGAAATTATAATAACAGTAACAGAAAAATAGCTGAGACTGGGAAAACACAGAGCTATTTGGAGATATCCCCCCCTTTGTGTTCTTCCCCATCCCAGAAATATTAGCATTCATTAAATGAGGAAAAAAGATATGATTCAGGTGGAAGTAAAACTACAAATTATATTTAAAAATTTAAATGGGTAGCAGGGATCAACAGACAAAAAAGGAAATAAGGGGAAAAAATGGAATAAGCATGAAGGAAAGCTGTAAAAGGTTTGAGAGAAAACAGAGAGAGGCTCAGTACCTCTAGCTGGAGTAATAGTTACCCAGAAAAAAATAACGTGCTTCTGAGAAATGAAATAATGTTGTAAGATCGTGGTTGTTGATGTTTAAAGACCGTTAATGTTTCCTTGATCTTAAGAAAAGTAATAATCCAAGTTCTCTTTGTTTGGGAGGGAACAGTGTTCACTACTTGAATATTTTAATATAACCTAATTCAAGTGGAGTTTATTTAGCACAGTGGTGAATCCACATCCGAGGTTTCCTTGGCCATCATCTGCTATCTAAGTGCTATAAACTTGTTCACAGAGTCATACTAGAAACAAAACTTATATTTCAAGCAAAGGTGATAATGTTTTTTGGCCACTGTCAATGGGGTAGAAAAACATGAGTAAAGTTTTCAAAAGCTCATAAGACTCATTGTCAAAAGTGACCAGCATTTAGGCTTCTATGTCATCTAGGTATTTTTTGAAAATTTCACCCCATGTCTGCATAATGCAAACAACTGTAGTTATAATAACTCTGCCTTAAACCACAATCACATTTAAATGTTGTTTAAATAGGTTTGTTAATAGGCATGGTCTGGCCAGGATGGCTATTATAAATTATATGTACTGCAGTAAGGCCTCCACGCAGGGATCAGTGCCCCATTATTCTAGCCACTGTACACACCTGTGCGCACACTCACTCTCAGCAGACAGCCCCTGCCCCAAAGAGCATGATGAACCCAAACCATGTTGTAACCATTTAGGCCACAACCATATTTAAACTGCTTGAGTACAGTGATTAAATGAAGTTGTTTGCCGTGTGTAGATGGGATTAAAGAGCAGCCTGGAATGAGAAATCCATTAAGGGAGGTGGGAACTAGGGGATCTGAAATAGAATAGGTCCAAGATTCACAGATGAGGAAGTTGTGGCAAAGTATAGCCTGTTAGAAACACTTCCAGCTTCATTTGGAAATCCACTGTTGGTTAATGCAGGTGCTCCTAATAGGAAATACTACATAATGAGTGGCACATTCTGTACTAGCTGTAACTTCTGGATGGTCTCCATGTGTAAACCCAGGTAGAGCACACTAGGCATCCACCTTGATGTGACAAAGGCAAGTGTGAGGATGGCATAAGTCCTGCACTTCTAAGGGTCCAGTCCCCACCTCCATCTTACTTGTCATCCCTCCTCCCATGCACACACACATGCACTGCTGATCTGTTAGCAAAAGCATCACCCCCAATTCCTTGTCTATGCGTCCATCTGACACTGGTGCTGGATGGCTGCTGCATATATAGAATTCCCTAAATACCTTCCCATCATCACCCCCAATTTGGGATGTTGAGCTTCAGAAAACTTCTTGTTTCTGAGGGAGTGAGTTGTCCTGAAGCTTCAAAAAAGTGAGATATGGAGGCTGGAGGTCACCACAGCTGAAATGGAGATCATGAGGCAACTACAGAAAAATAAACTGCAAACCCCTTTATTAGAGCAACAGCCAATACAGTTAACAGGAGGCTGGGATGCTCTCTCCAGGGGAATTATACCATTCCAGGATAGAACAAGATGGTGATATCGTCAACATTTTTGTAAGGAGTATTGTCAGCATGGGCAAGCCTGGTTTTGTGGGATTAGATTAGGAGTAATTGTACATTGAGATTTTATGTCATGTGATGGTGGGTGCTGCTACGAAAGTGATGGTTACTGTGTCTTAGGGTATGTCTACGTTAGAGCTACTGCAGTGGCACAGCTGCGGTGCTGCAATGCTGTAGTGCAGGGGTCGGCAACATTTGGCACGCGGCTCACCAGGGTAAGCACCCTGGTGGGCCGGGCCAGTTTATTTACCTGCTGACGCGGCAGGTTCGGCTGATCGTGGCCCCCACTGGCCGCGGTTAGCCGTCCCGGGCCAATGGGGGTGGCAGGAAGCCGCAGCCAGCACATCCCTCGCCCGCGCCACTTCCCACTGCCCCCGTTGGCCCGGGACGGTGAACCGCGGCTAGTGGGGGCCGCGATCGGCCAAACCTGCCACGTCAGCAGGTAAATAAACTGGCCCGGCCCGCCAGGGTGCTTACCCTGGCGAGCCGCGTGCCAAACGTTGCCGACCCCTGCTGTAGTGTAAACACTTCTTACATTGACAGGTTTTCTCCATTAATGTAGTTAATCCACCTCTCTGAGAGGTGATAACTAGGTTGACAGAAGAATCCCTCCCTTGACCTACCTGTGTCTACACCAGGGGTTAGGTCAACCTAACTCTGTCACCCCGAAGGTGAAATTTTTCATAGCCCTGAGCAACAAAGCTAGGTTGATCTAATTTTCAAATGTAGACCAGGCCTTTGTGGCTGACCTATTAAAGTTGCAGAGAGAATAGGAGAGGTCCAAGAAGAAAAGGTATGTATGAGAAAATGGAGATGCTCACTGTTGAGATGTGGGGAGGGAAAAGATGAGAACCCTTTATTCAGGTAACTTTTAACACCCATGCACTAACAGGTATAATCCAGCACTAGAAGTGTGTGGTTCAGGGGCAGCTGTGATTACAGCAGAAGGAATACACTTGAAGATTAATTCAAGTTCTCCACCTGTGCCCTATTGAAAATAGCAGATTTTGAAGGCAAATGTGCAGATGCATGTTTAAAAGCTTATTATTGCCCTGGTTATATAATAAGACCAAGCTCTTCTGTCACACTTCTCATCAGTAGCTCTCTGAGCTGTTTACGAATGAGGTCAGTATCATTATCCCCATTTTACAAGATGGGGAAACTATAGCACAGGGAGTTAAAGTTTCTTTAGGTCACCCAGTTGGCTGGTAGCTAAGCCAGGAATAGAGCCCAGGTCTCCCAAGTCCCAATCATGTCCTCTCACCAAAGAGCCCCTTTTAGCATATGGAGGTTTATAACTAAGCCTGGGAGCGCTGTTCTCTAAAATTGGCTGAAGCAAGTGTGCAATGGAAATATCTGTTGTCTGAATTGGTTTTTTTGTTTTTCCCTCTTGCAGATCATAAAGCATATGGAATCTCTGTCAAAACGGACAATCAGCATGTTACAGCAAAGGAGTTTCAGGGTACAGTATGTGCATGGGCATCACTGCATTATATATAAATATATAATATATATAACACAAGAAACTGTTTAAAGAACATTATTAAGGTTGCAAAGTCAAGCACTCAAAGGTGAGGAAATGCCAGAATTAAGGTTATGTGTTCAATCTTAATTCAGCCCCATTGTGTGTATGCATTATGATACAGTGTTTAATTACATGATCACATACTATTCTGCCCAGAACCCCTGCCAGCTTCTATGCACAGGATGAAGAGTGCTCAATTAATGAGCAGCTTGCTCCTTGTTGCCCTATGTGGCCCTATGCCTTATTGACTATTCATTGTTCAAACCCTGCTCTGAAGACATAATTATAAATTTCTTCATGGTCTGTTCAGCGGCACTCATCACTATTGTATCTGAATGCTTCAAACACTAACTAATTTATTCTCTCAACACCCGGGTGACATGAGAAGTGGTTATTATCCACATTTTACAGACTGGGAACTGAGGCACAGAGAGAGGAGGGTCAAAAGTATCCACTAATTTTAGGGGCCCAAATTGAGACATACAGGACCTGATTTTTCAGAATATTTAGTATTATATAGAACTTTATATGTTCAAAGTGCAACTCCTATTGACTTGCAGTTGTTGGTGCTCAGCACTTCTGCAAATGAGTCCCCAGGGTCTCAAGTCCAGCACCCAGAAAATGAGGAACAGGCAGTTGGTGACCATCTGTGAAAAGTTTGGCTTAAGTGACTAGTCCAACATCACACAAATTGTGGCAGAGGCAGGGATAGAATCCAGTTCTCCTGGGCAGCATTCAACTGTTTTAACCATGAGACCTTTCCTTCTGTTCCTGCAGTCCCCTGCATCATCCACAACAAACCTTCCAACATCTGCTACAAATGAGGCAAGGGTCTTACAGACAATAGCTTCCTTCAGTACATGTCATTGATTCATCACCAGAGCAGGTCCATTCTGTGGACTGAATGAGTCAGGGGTCCTTTGGAAAAAAAAGTCATCCTTTAATTTATATGCATAAACGGGGGGCGAATTAAGGCACCTTACTTGTGTCATTTCCTAACATTTGAGTGCTTGACTTTGCAACCTAAATGTTCTTTTAACATAGTTTGGTTTGGCTTTCTAATGTCCTAGGTCTTCAAAAAAAATAAAAAAAAAAATCCCAGTAAGGTCAGGTTAGTGGGTGACACTTATATTGGTATGTAGTTCCATGTGTTTGGGGTTTATGTTGGTCTTAATTCCATATGTTGAGTTTATTTTGTTTTTTTTATTTGTTGCATAAACTATCCCAGCTGCCCTTCTGCCTACCGATTCCTTGTTTGCAAGTTTCATGTAGGATTCATGGCAGAACTGGATCTTCTGGAGGGACTTGAATAAGAGGGCAATGGTCTGCTGTAGTAGCTTGGGAAGGTGACCCATGTGTAGGGAGTCACATAAAGCATAAAGACAGTTAGGGGAGAATCGGAAGAACAGGGCAACAAGACCAGCATCATTTGACAGAGTGGAGGGAGCAAAGGAGTGGCGGGAGAGGGAGAGACAAGATTTGGTAATAGGGAAGTGCAGCATTCTATAGGGACTTGAAGGTGGTGACAAGAAATGTGAATTTAGTGAGGAGGGAGGCACCAGTGAAGCACTCAAAGGGATTGGTGATGTGTACAGATTGGCCAGTTCAGAAGGTGATCCTAGTAGCTGAATTTTGTATTTTTCTGGAAGGGGGTGACATAGGTGTAGGCAAATAAATAAACATGTTGATGGAAACGCCATAATGTCAGAGCTGGTCCCTCTGAGGCAGGGTTGAAATATATCGGTGGGGAAAAGCTTGTATTTCCACTGTCTCTGCAGACTCATTCTGTAGATGAAAAGGACTTTGATCTCTAGGGTTGTCAGCCTGGCACCTCTCACAAACAACGTCACTTCTTAAAAAATGAACACACAAAAATATTAAATAAGATTTCAGAGATCAGAAAGGATGAGAGAATGGGAACAGTTGGCTACCATGGCTATTGGGCCTTTTTTATGAAGGCTTGGCTGATTTTTGTCTCATTGTATGGCTCACCTCCTACTCTTCTTTCCTGCAGTGCACATGCTGGAGGAGGACTTGTTTGTTAATACTTAGCATAGGCAGTTTCTGATCACACCCATACTCTTACCTAACAGCAAAGCAGGAACGCTAGAGCCCACTCATATGTCTACTATGTGCAGCTGATTTGAACTGCGCTCCGGAGGACCAGGTCAGGAAGGAAGCTATGGCAGCAATTCAGTGGGGTAGAGATGTATGCACACTGGGCATAGGCACACTACTCCCTCACCACTGTTCACAGCTGGTGAGTTGCTCCAATGACTGGTAACTCTTAGATTTCCTCTTTTTGCTTCATTTTCAACCTACTGTTCTCTTTTTCCTGTCCTATGTGTCTATTTTCCACCTGCTCTGTCCCTGGGTTGTGTCTGTATCCCATCTCTTAGCACATTCCCTCTAATTCCTATATCTCTATCCCTTTCCTCTCTGCTCTCCTGACTTTGTTTGTGTGGTTTTATCTTGTGCTTACTATGGAGAGCCAAGGAACCATAATTTGGCATCCTCTCTGCTGTACTCCTACTCAGCAGCATTTCCCCTAGCAGCATCAGTGCCAGAATAAAATGGAAACTGAGAAGTGTGCCAGCTTTATCAAGCTGCATCCTGTGGAAAGGAGCTACTCTGGAAGGGTACACAGTGCTACTGTGAAGGCATCTATAATACTAACTGTGAATTTCATAAGATCCTTCCACCTGCAAGATTTAAATGCATGGCAAAAAGCATGCAGGGGCTCAGCTCCCTTCCCTTCAATCTCCAAGTCCCGCATCAGTGTTTGATCACTATGCCCTGGTCTACACTACGAGTTTAGGTCGAATTTAGGAGTGTTAGATCGATTTAACCCTGAACCCGTCTACACGACGAAGCCATTTTTGTCGACTTAAAGGGCTCTTAAAGTCGATTTATGTACTCCTCCCCGACGAGGGGATTAGCACTGAAATCGACCCTGCTGGGTCAAATTTGAGGTAGTGTGGACGCAGTTCGACAGTATTGGCCTCCGGGAGCTATCCCAGAGTGCTCCATTGTGACCGCTCTGGACAGCACTCAGATGCACTGTCCAGATAGACAGGAAAAGCCCCGCGAACTTTTGAAATTCATTTCCTGTTTGGCCAGCGTGGCGAGCTGATCAGCACAGGTGACCATGCAGAGCTCATCAGCACAGGTTACCATGGAGTCCCAGAATCGCAAAAGAGCTCCAGCATGGACCGAACAGGAGGTACTGCATCTGATCGCTGTATGGAGAGACGAATCCGTGCTATCCAAACTCCGTTCCAAAAGACAAAATGCAGGAATATTTGAAAAAAATCTCCAAGGGCATGAAGGACAGAAGTTATAACAGGGACCCGCAGCAGTGCTGCGTGAAACTTAAGGAGCTCAGGCAAGCCTACCAAAGAACCAGAGAGGCAAACGGCCGCTCCGGGTCAGAGCCCCAGACATGCTGCATCTATGATGATCTGCATGCCATTCTAGGGGGTGCCCCTACAACTACCCCACCCCTGTGCTTCCCTCCTCTCCCACCCCTCCCGGGCTGCCTTGGCAGTTATCCCCCCATTTGTGCGACGAATTAATAAAGAATGCATGAATTTGAAACAACAATGACTTTATTGCCTCTGCAAGCGGAGATCAAAGGGGGGAGGGGAGGGTGGTTGGCTTACAGGGAAGTAGAGTGAACCAAGGGGGCGGGTTTTCATCAAGGAGAAACAAACAGAACTGTCACACCATAGCCTGGCCAGTCATGAAACTGATTTTCAAAGCTTCTCTGATGCACAGCACGCCCTGCTGTTCTCTTCTAACCGCCCTGGTGTCTGGCTGCATGTAATCAGCGGCCAGGTGATTTGCCTCAACCTCCCACCCCACCATAAACCTCTCCCCCTTACTCTCACAGATATTGTGGAGCGCACAGCATAACGATGGCAATATTGGTTTCGCTGAGGTCTAACCGAGTCAGTAAACTGCACCAGCGAGCTTTTAAATGTCCAAAGGCACATTCTACCACCATTATGCACTTGCTCAGCCTATAGTTGAACTGCTCCTTACTACTGTCCAGGCTTCATGAGCCATGGGAACAAGGAGTAGGTGCGACCACGCGGTGCTGCCGACTGGGAGAGCAGCCTGAGGAGAAGCCTCCAGCTGGCATGATATCCCAGGCAGGACTGAATCTCCATTAGACGAAACTTAAAGAAGAGAATGACCTGGAGTCATTCCCATTTTTGTCCAGGCGCCCCCAACCGACCTCACTGAGGCCAGCCAGGCGCCCCCATGTCTGCCCAGGTGCCCCCGACCAACCTAACCGAGGTCGGCCAGGAGCACCCACGGGATGACGACGATGGTTAGCAGTCGTATTGCACCGTCTGCCATCCGCAAGGCAAGGCAAGGAGCTGCTGTTGTGTAGCACTGCAGTACCGTATCTGCCAGCAGCACCCAGGAGACATACAGTGACAGTGAGCTGAGCGGGCTCCATGCTTGCCTTGGTATGTCGTCTGCACGGGTAACCCAGGAAAAAAGGCGAGAAACGATTTTTTGCCGTTGCTTTCATGGAGGGTGGGGGGGCCTGATGACATGTACCCAGAACCACCCACGACAATGTTTTTGCCCCATCAGGCATTGGGAGATCAACCCAAAATTCCAATGGGCGGCAGAGACTGTGGGATAGCTACCACAGTGCAACGCTCCAAAAGTCGACGCTAGCCTTGGTACTGTGGACGCACACCGCCGACTTAATGCGCTTAGTGGGGACACACACAATCTTAAAAAATCGACTTCTATTAAATCGACCTAATTTCGTAGTGTAGACATACCCTAAGAATGTATGGCTTTGCATTTGTGTTGTATTAATAAAGTCATGGAGGTGGAAAGCAATGGATATTTCAGAACATGCCCAAATGTTTGAGGCTGAGAATAAGGAATATGAAGAAATTTATTTCCAAATCTAACTCTATATCAGTCATGTATTACCAAATTTGAAATAAGTTTATCTTGGTAATTTTAATTTAATTACCATTTCTAAATGTAGGTGAATGGATTTTCCTACCTTCCACTTAGCAGTCAAACACCACCAAAACATATTTTAGTGACTTTTCCTTCATGTAATAAGTTGCATACTAGTAATCAGTTTTCCATTCACCCTTCTTTGTGCTTACCCAACCTTGTTTTTCCCCTCGACCATTCATTTTTGTCCCCCAGTTCTCTCACCTTCCCACCAATTGCCTTTCCTATCTCTTCCCTAGAATTCTGTGTTCTTAGTTCAGCCTCTCCTTAAAAATACCTTAAATAGAATTCTTCTACCTCTCCACCTCTGATACTGTCTCCTCAATTCTGCCTGTCCCTCTCCTCCCCCTTTGTCCAGTCTTTCTCCTCACTGCCTCCCACTCCATTTAGTCTCCCCTCTCCTCACGCTATATAACAGAGCCTCTCTTCCTGGTTTATTTGGGCATAAGCTTTCGTGGGTACCCATGAAAGCTTATGCCCAAATAAATCTGTTAGGCTTTAAGGTGCCACCGGTCTCCTTGTTGTTTTTGTGGATACAGACTAACACAGCTACCCCCTGATACTCTCTTCCTGGTGACTCTTCTCCCCTGTTGCTGAGTGCAATGAAGCTAGATCACTAAGGTTGAGGAGACCTGCACCATACTTTCTCCCCTCCATATAACCCTTCCCAACCCAGCAGGAGAGGAGGAGGAGGAGGAAGTGCTTATATCGTGTGAACTAAGCACTGGGCTTCCTCTGTTCTCTCCCTGCTCACAGGCAAGAGTCAGAGTGACCTCGACATTGCTCCTCTGCATTTTCTTCTTCCCTCTCCCGTCTCTGAAATGAAAGCATCTGGGCAGTAGAGAGAGACAATGGAAGTCTCATCCCCAGAGTGTAGGTGAATTATAGGCTTGCAACACTGAAACTCAGCTGCCTTCACTTTAGTTAGATGCAAATAAAGTTAGGCACTCCTGGGCTCAGCCAGCAATCTCAAAGGCCAGCAGTGAAAGACCCAGAGCGTAGCTGGGAATTGACTAATGTTTTTCATTGTTAGAAAGGCAACAAAACAAAAGGGAAAGGAAACTTCAATAAATCTTAAAGTACAGGAAGGCCACCGCCTATCCCACTCCACCTGCAGTCAGGAACTTCTGACTTCCTCAGCTAAGTACAGAACACACATTTTGTAAAGCATTGTGTATTTGTCTTTGGAACAGGATGCCCTCCTGTCACTGGATTTTTCTTTAAAGTTGGGTTGCTTCTTTAATGTCTTGTCTCACTTTGTGTGATCTTATTGCTCATGACAAATGCCAGACTGGTAGCGTTGGAGCTCTGAAGCCTCAGCTCTGGTCTGGAAGGACAAATAGTGGGGTGAATAAGTAACTCTGTCTCCATCATTTACTCAGTCCTTAGTTTCCTCGGCTGAGATTGGTAACAAGAGTGCAAATTAAAACAGGCTGTTGTGTATGCTTTTGAGATGTGGACACTTGTCCACTGGAAATCGGATACACCCCATCAAAGGTATAAAAGTCTTTGGTCCCTATTAATATGACCTGTAAATGAAGGGCTCAGCGTATAGGTGAAAGGTTCTATATTGCATTGCCAACCTCCTAAGCCATCTGTTCTACCCCTTCCCCTTGGAAAAGAAAATAAAGATCGAGGCTTTCCACTGGAGATTATAAACTATAGAGAGATTGGAGGTAGTCAAAGATTTTTCATAATAATACTAGTGTTCTTTTCCTCCTCAGGCCAATCTGTACTAGAAAAGGTATGCCAATAGACCTGTACCAGCAAACCCATTTAGTAGAGACACACTTTCTACTGCCAAAAATGTGCTTTTCCCTGTATAACTTATACCAGTTCTCTTTAAAGCTCTACCTACTTTACATTCTCTCTCTAAATTCTGTTCTCCATTACACTTGTTTATATTTGGAGTAAATGCAATAAAGTCAATTTTAAGAGCAGGATTTGATTGTCACTGAAGGCTGAAGCCCTTTAATAGGAAGAATATTATGATCAGTACTTGTAATTATACCAAGCACGGAGCTAAAACACTGATCATCTGTTTTGTTTTCCCTAGAGGCTATGCTTAGCTGTAAGTACTCAGCTGGAAAGGGTATTATTCCAAGAGTAGAATGGAAGAAACTCTCATCCCGTGATGTCTCATTTGTGTACTACAAAGGTGACTTAGTAGGTAAGAAGCTGCAAACTTGTAGACTGATGGATTAAAATGAAATTGCTAAAATGCAGTTTGGTTTCTTTTCTGAAGAGAATAACAATGACAAAAGGACTTCCCAGAATTGGTTTTTGAAGAGCATATTCTTGAATGGCTTTCAATGCTAATATCTATTCTATCTTTGATGGTATTAAATATTTTAACTTGAAGATGTAGATGAGTCTTTTGTACTGTTCTGTTTAGATTTAAAAAATGGCATTGTAGGTTCCCTGAATCCTTCTATAACCTGAGCGCATTTAAATAAAATTCTGCCCGTATTGAAAACTTTATGATCCAAAGAACAAGCTTCTGAAAGATTCTTTAAAATAAAGCTGAAGACTTGAACATAAATGTCATAGTAATATATACAGTGTAACAGCATATTTTAAATACACCCCCATTCTTTTTAGGACTAGAACATAAGAATAAGTGTTCTTGCTTAAAATGACTTATTTCAGCTTTACATTTTGAGTGAAAAGCGCATCTCCGTGGTACCGTATATGTCAGCTATTTTTATTGTAGCTTTGTTCAAAAAGCTGTAGCTATTTTTTTTCTCTTTTCAATGGGAAGTTAGTTTTGCCCTCATAACACACACACACTCCCATAACTCAAATGTCTGAAAGAATTTTGTTCCAACTTAAAAAAAAAAAAAAAAAAAAAAAATCACCTTTAACCAGAGACCAAGTATGGAAAAAAATCAGCCCACAAGGTGAAAGGTATGTGATAATGGGACTACAATGGAGTCTGGATTTTTGAAAGCTTAACTAGAGAGCTTTTGTCCAACATTCTCTATCTATAATAAATGTCACTTTTAAGTTTCTTGGATGATGCAGATTTCACCAAGCCACCCAAGAGCATTGGGGAAATGCATGTGCTGCCAAATTCAAGATGGGTCTTGGGATTCCAACTCTATAGGCTGTTGGAAACTGGCTGTGTTTCATAAGTGATGCCTTTGGTTTGTGAACAAAGGGTGTAGGGTTTGGGCTTAAAGTATTGCCTTGTTGCCCCTAAATTTATTTGTAGAGTGGAAGTGATAGTATCTTTGGAGAAAAGTGCTCATATTTATTGTCCTTCAGTGGAAAATTAGGCACAAAGATTATCAAGATTGAAGAAGTGAGCAATGATTGATGACTAGATGCATTGTGTGGTTTCCAGATGAGCCAATGATGCACAGTGATATTTTATTTTTATAACAGGCTTGATCTGCAAGGAATACTTTTCTAACTGTCATATTCTCTTTTAAAGGTGATCTGAAAGGCCGAGCAGAGATGATAGATTCAAGCATACGAATTAGAAATGTGACCAGAAAAGATTCTGCGAGATACCGTTGTGAAGTTAGTGCGCCGACTGAACGGGGACAAAATCTGGCAGAGACTATTATTACTCTCACAGTGTTGGGTAGAAACCTAACTTTGACTATGGGTTTTTGTTGAGGTCAATCCTAAGGGCAGGAGGGTAGGGGGAATTCAGTGTGGATATTTTTCCTCATGCACTCTTTTGTGCATGAGGAAAAATATGACAAAGTGTACATTCTTTTCTGGCTTCTCTTTAATGTTTTCACAAACCACATTTACCTTCTTTTGACCACCTCTAACAAATAATTAATAATAGGGAACAAAACTACCCTTACAGAATCTTTTCTGAAAGTTTGGCCTGTATATTAAGGCTGGGATTTTCAAATGGGCCTAAGGGAGTTGGGCACCCAGCTCTCATTGACTTTCAGTGAAAGTGGGTACCTAACTCTTAGGCCCCATTGAATTTCCCAACACCAAAGCAACTATGACATCTTAAAGGGCATTGATAATCACTCTGTTCATAGAAATAAATCCAAAACACACAACTGTGAAGAGGCCAGTACTAGCTCCAAATTCTGATTAGGTTACAAGTAAAACTCAGAGGTCTTCTCCTTGTCCACTTTATAAAATTGCACATAGAAATACTGGCCTCTCTTCTGGAGAAACCCATGTCTGGGCTGGCAGAAATGTTATCTGGATTGAGGCACACTGGCACACCTGTATGTGGAAAAAGCTTTACTGGATCTTTTTCAGCAACTGCCAGTACGAAGACTAGCTGAAGTTCCTAATAAGCCCTGTATTCATAAGTACTGGAACTGTGCTGAAGTGGTTTCCGTTATATACTACTCCTGGGGGAATTCTGTGCCAACAAATTAAGAATTGTGCAACAAAAAATTCTGCGCACGATATTTTGAAATTCTGCAAAATTCTGCATATTTTATTTGTCAAAATAACACAATATGATCATACCAGTTTCAATTATTTTTGGTTATTTATTTCAAAATACCTGTCAGCAAGTATGTCTGTAACAATGCAGACAATAAAAAAGATTCAGGGAATGTTTTTTGACAAATAGATTCCTTATCAGTATATCAATACAGAACACAAAGCAAAGTGGGTATTTTGTTCATTTTTTTAAAAAAAGCCACAGTTCAGTGATTCTTGGCCTTTGGTGGTGACTCAGCAAATGTTTGAAGTATCATACTGTGACTAGAGCTGTTCAAAAAATTTTAATGAAAAAGTTTTTCCACCAAACATTACTTCTCAAACTACATGGATTTTTTTTCTGTGAAAACATGTCATTTAAAACTTTTTTGAAACCAAAGGAAATTATTTTCTTTTCTTTCCTTTTTCCCCTCTTCACTAGTTCAGGGGCAAAAAGGGAAGGGGAAAGAGGGAGTTGAGGGGAAGGTGCTCAAAAAGAGCGGGGTGGGGGGGGTTGTTTCAAATAAGTGGAAACAACAAGAACAAAATATTTCAACCAAAAAAAGAAATTCCATGGAAAGTTTTGCCTGACTCAACATCCCCTTGAGTCCATGGAACTAAGTGCTGTGCTGGCAGGATGGAGGTGGGGAGGGAGGGTTGAGAAATTGATCTTGGATTGGATGGTAGTGAGAGGGAGCAGAGCAAGGGAGAGGCAGCAGCAGGTTGAAGGGGCTGGGAGCAAGGTGCTCCTTCCCTTTCCAGGGTCCTAGCAACCCAGGGATTTTTCTGTGTTCTCATTTAGTGGCGTGTGACCCACTGGTCACCCCTGGTGATCTCTTTCTTGGCCATGCCCCACCAGTCTATCCTGTTAATTAATACATCGTGGGGTTCTTTGGATTGTTTCTGATGCCTAAGCATATGTTGAAATAGAAATGTGAATGTTAATTTAAAACACTTAAACTGCCAAATAACAAATACGTTTTCATTGTTCAGTGGCCTCGGCAGCTCCATCGTGTGAAGTGCCCAGCTCAGCGATGAGTGGAACAGTAGTACAACTGAGTTGTAAAGAAAATGAAGGGTCTCCTGCTTCTGAGTACAAGTGGTATAGGAATGGTGTTGCTTTACTGGAAAATACAGGAACAGGCAGTGCTAAAATAGGAAACATTTCTTACACCATGAATAAAAAGACTGGAACATTGGTAAGATCATCTTATCCAACTCTTTCTTTTGACTTTTGAGTCTGAAAGAAAACTAAATGTATTATTCATGTTACACTATGACCAAGGATCAGGGCCCCATTGTGCTAGGCATTGTGCAGATGAGAAACAAACAAACAAAAGTCCATGCCCCAGAGAGCTCACAACCTACATGTCAGACAGGATACAACAAGTGGATGAAATACACAAACTGGGTGGGAGTGGAGTGAAAGGAGGAGGTAAAATAATTTAGCAGAGTTTTGCAAAACAAACCGAAGTTATAGCTTGCCACGTGTGTGACCAGTGCCAGATCAGGCATCACAGTACTAAGTTTTTTAAGGAGGGATTTAAAAGAGGATAAAGTGGGCATCTTTACAAACTTCCATGGGGAGTTATTCCCAAGCATAGAGGGCAACATCAGAGAAACAGATGTTTAGGAAATGTAAAAGTAACTTTCCAGATATACTTAGAGGGCCCAATCCTGCACCAGTAAAGACTGGGAGCAGGAACCAGGCCCCAAATCAGCATAGGCATCTTTTCCAGAACTATACACCTCTTTTGAAGAGACTTCCATGGATGCTTTTCAATTATTATTAATGATAAATTTTAGTCCAAGACTTTCCAAAGTGACTAGTAATTTTGGGCACCTCACTTTTATGAACGATCAAAGTCAGATACCTTAGAGGAGTCTGATTTTCAGAAGGTGAATGATCAGTGCACTCTTAAAATCCCACCCCTTTAAGGTGTGTCAAACTGAGCACCCAAAATCACTAGTCACCTCTGAAAATCTTGGCCTTGATGCGTAGTTGTGGCTCTCAGAGAGTGAGCCTAATTTCAAAGCCCACTGAAGTCAATGGGAAGACACCCACTGAGTTTGATGAGTTTTGGAAAGTCCCCACCTCTCCCTTTCTTGTTGTTTATGTGAAATAGTCATCCGTTTCATCATACTTCATTTTGTAAAAAAAGAAAAAATAACCCATAGTTCAAAGAACTAATTGTCTAAATGGTATCAGTGCAGTGTCCCTCATCCACCAACCTCCTAACTTTAAATCACATGGTGATAGTATTTGATAACTAGAGCTGGTTGGGAATTTTTTATCTGAATGATTTTCTAACAGAAATGCAGTTTCCACAAAATTGAAATTTTCCACAGGGAAATTTTGAGTTTGCTTTTCAAATTTTTTCAAATTCAATTTTCCACCACGAAAATAAAAATAAAATATTTAATTTGGGGTCAAATTCAGTTTCAGAAATGTTTGAAATGTTTTGTTTTGATTAAAAAAATGTTGAAACAAAATGTTTCTGAATCAAAATTTTTTGGAATTTCTGTTTTGTTAAATTTCATCTTTTCATCCAAATTTGGGACAAAAACAAAAATGTCAGAATTTCCATGGGATGGAAATTGTAAATTTCACTCAGCTTTATTGGTGACTTTTTTTAAAATTTAACAGCTATTTAACACAGTTTCAAAGAAGGACACTGGAGAGTATTACTGTGAAGCCTCTAATGGAATTGGACTTCCTCAAAAATGCTCTGTGAAGCGAATGCAAGTTGGTAAGTGTCAAAAGCAAATAAGGCAAAAAAATCTGTAGATGAAAATGACTTTATTGCATGGCACATGTAAGAAACTAAGACTAGGTTCAAATTATACTATCTCATTCCTCCCCCAGAGTGCTGGAATCAAATGCAATTACATGATGTTTGTTATGAATGCCATTTATGTAGACATTTTGGTTGCTTAAGTCACTCCTCTTCTAAAAAGAAGCAGTAGAGATTACTGTATCTTACATAAGGTTGCTTAGCTCGGCGTGCTTTAGAATGATCAAATGTCCAGCTTTCAGAAGATTACTATGCATTAAACTCCACTGAACAATAGTATACACCAGGGGTCGGCAACCTTTCAGAAGTGCTGTGCCGAGTCATCATTTATTCACTCTGATTTAAGGTTTCACGTGCCAGTCATACATTTTAATGTTTTTAGAAGGTCTCTTTCTATAAGTCTATAATATATAACTAAACTATTGTATGTAAAGTAAATAAGGTTTTTAAAATGTTTAAGAAGCTTCATTTAAAATTAAATTAAAATGCAGAGCCCCTCAGCCCGGTGGCCAGGACCGGGCAGTGTGAGTGCCACTGAAAGTCAGCTTGTGTGCCGCCTTCGGCACGTGTGCCATAGATTGCCTACCCCTGGTATACACATAAGATATTAATATTTCAGAACTTTTTGTGGAGGCTGTAAAGTATGATCTGCAAGTCTTGTTTCACAGATATTTTCCTTGAGTCAATTTCATGTGGGACTTTAATGCAGCAACTCAGAAAACTATTTCTGATCTTCATTTTCTTATCTGGAAAAACAGTAATAAATGTGACATTTATATCTGGTTAGAGGGACACTGTCCGGGTTGATAGGCCTAATGTTTGTTTTGCTTTCTGCTCCTTATCTGTTTGCAACATTCGTGGAACCTGTTAGATATAGAATTTGTTTTGTGAACAAGTCCATCCGTTATTTTTTTCCCCAAAGAAAAAAAAATATATTCCAGCAGCCCAGCACTCTTGAGTAGCTCTGCAAAATCCCACAGCAGTGCATGCACAAGTGATGGAGAGAAGTTGGTAAGGAAATATTTCAAGTTTCTAAAAGGTTTTAATCAAGAGTGAAGGGGAAAATGCTTCTAATGGATGGATTCTACAAAATACCTTGGCAGTGACCTTTTAAACAGTGCTCTAATATTTCTTACTCTCTCAGGACCTGGTTCAAAGCCTGCTGAAGTCCATAGAAAGACTTTGGATCAGGCCTTTTAATGCATTCATGTTGTATTTGAGTAACTACATGCTATCAAGGCAGAATTCCTCTACTGGGGAAACATTAATCCAAGTCATAAATTGGTACTTATCGACACACATAAGAAGTTTTTTGGACCAATGTTTTCAAATCTGTGTGCCTGTAGTTAGGCAACCAAATATGTATTTGGACATCTAAATAGAAGTGGCCTAATCTCTCCCCCCACGAGGTGCACACTTACAGCTCTCATTGATTATAATGGGAATGGGGATTGCTCATCACCACAGAAAAATCAGGCCACTTCTAATTTAGGTGCCCAAATCTGGATTAAGGAGTCTAATTTTAGGCACCCAGGTTTGAATACTTTGGCCTTGGTGGTTTAGTTTTTAAAAACCCTCACTTCCATTCACGTCAGAAGCCATTAAGTTATACATATGATTCAACAGCATGAAAATTCTTGGTGCCACAAATATCATTCTGTGTCAACAATTTCATCAGCTGTTACATTACTACTATTTTAATCAAACTAACTTAAAATAAATCTTCTCTAACAGCTGTTTCCATTTACAGGCTTCAGGATATATTCTCCCTTTGACATGTGTAACTTGAATGATGCCAGGGGTTAGGCACTCATCTAGATGAGAAAATACCCCCTTGTCTCTATCCAGTTTTTGACTTTTTGGATCATATTAAGAATTTGAGGTGTGTTAAAAAGCCTTGTGCATACAAGGGTATTATTTGGTGGGTAGTAGGTTCTCAAAATGTTTATTCCATTCACTTCTTTCTGGTTGCTAGCAACTTACATGTCAGAGTCATTTACATATTGCATTCTATAGTTATCATTGCCACTGCTCTCTGGAATTTTTATAGTGGAAAACTGTTATAATGGCAAGTTTTTGTTTTGGGGGGTTTTTAACACTGGATTTATTTTGTTTTCATTTATAGATGACCTTAATATAAGCGGAATCATAGCGGCTGTAGTAGTTGTGGCTCTGGTAATGGCATTATGTGGCCTTGGGGTATTTTATGCACAAAAGAAAGGTTACTTTTCAAGTAAGTCAAGTTAAATCTTGCCTTCCTCATAGACATCAGGAAACTTGCTATGACTAAATATTTCTACTGTGTAGAGTATACTTCTTTTTCATGTAAGGTCTGATTCTGCACTATTGAAGCCAATGGAAGTATTGCATCTGTCTTCAATAAGTGTAGGATCTGACCCATAGTTATTTGTTCTGCCTGCTCCTTTTATTCATACCCAGTTTACTTTTTGCAATAGAAAATGAGATAGAAATGGCAGGCTAGTCACAAATGACTGTTGAAAGGGAATTTAGGCAAATCCAGAGGGTCTAAGTAAGCTCCACAGACTTCTTTCTTATGCAAAGTTAAGATAATTTTGAAAATATTAGAAAAAAGGTTAAATATTTTCTCTTGCCCACAGTTCTATTTTCCACAAATGTTCATGAACTGAGTCTGAGAATTGCTAGCTCACCCAGTCACTGACAGATACCTTGAAGAAAATGAACTTTCAGCTCAGGGGAGGCAGAGCCCGGGATAAGTAACTGCTTGGGTACAAAGTCTAGCTGATCAAAGAAGTTACAAATTTCTTCCCCAAAGTGTGTCATAACAGGGCTAGTGAGGAACATTGTGGATATGAGAAAAACCAAAAACTACCTGAAAGACATTAGGTGTAAATTTATTTCTGGCCAGAATTCTAACATGTTTACTCATGTTTAGTACCTTGCTACACAAGTGTTCCCATTTATTTAGCAGGGTACCAAATGACATAAAAGAAGAGCAACAAAATTACACCGATGTGTTATATGATAGAATACTCACGCACACATATCAAATATGTGTGTGTGCATATGTACATTAAAGTGACATTATTGGTGGTTTTGGTTTCTAAAATCTGTCTGTTCCAGTAAAAAGAAACAATGTAAACAGTCATTTTTAATCTAAGATGTAAGCAGTACTGAAACTTGCATCCTAGTGGAAATGGACTTGCTGACTCCATCTGCTGGACCATAATGAAAGTACATGTCAGGAAAACTGATGCTTTTATTAAATTTCATAAGAGCTGGGCAACTTCCCCAAGGGTATTTACAATAGGGGCCATAGAATCTAATACAGTGAACAGGCAGTGATGCAGAAGAATGTTTCAGGATGTGTCTGAAAGAGGACACACAGCTTTTTGGTGTGTAGGGGGGAGCAAGGGCTGAAGATTGATTTGAGAGCAGTTTCACGAGAGCAGGTAGCTGAACGCTTTCAGAAGTAGACTATTAACTCCAGAGGAGAGGGGGCTTGGGCAGCTTTCCTGCTGGCTTATCCAGACAGACTGCTGTCAGGGGAATCACTTGTTCATCCTCCAGTGAGAAACATAGTTCAGATGCTACTGTCAGAAATTAAAGGGATGAGGAAGGACAAGAGTTAAATGTTATCCACAGGAGATATTTCAAAGGATGTTTATTAGCCAGGGAAATTACTGTGTGCTAAATATGTTTTTTCTTTTACTTTTCCAGAAGAAAGCTCTTCTCAGTAAGTATATCACTTTTGGGTAGTTAATTTCATTTGTGCTTCTGATGATGTAAGAAATGTGATGCTTGTGTAGGGCTTTCCACATCATTATTATACATGGGGGGTGTTTTGTGTCCTTAACCTTATTTTTGATAACCTGTTCTGAAATATTCTTTAGGCTGCTACTTTGGTGGCTGGATTTTCTCACTATGCTTACTAAGCTGCATACTAACACCAAGCCACTAGTAATAAATGAACCAACCAATACTTTTGTTAAATAAACAGAGGTAAATTTTCAGATGGCTGTGTCCCCTCCCCCTTTTGGTTATCATTCAAACCCCTAATTCAGCCACAGACATAAATCTTGCTTGGCCAACTCCCTGGTTGTGAATGCAAAATAGCTAGGTAGAAGATTTTACCCAAATCTGTGTGTGCAGATCATTTTGGAAACTGGTCATCAGCCAGGATGAAAGTATACACCTCAGTCTTGCATTAAAAGATGGAAGTGTGCTAGTTCTGTGAAATCAGCAACTGTTCGTACAGTACATGCAAGCTGATTTTACAAGATAGGCTGAGATACATGCTCACATATAAGACTAATATTGAGTCCTTAAAGTGGAGGCTGGCATTTCTTCTGTCTAGCTAAGCTCAACATTAATAACTCACATTCTCAAGTGAGGACAATGGCAGGAAAAAGCAAGTAATTTATTAAAAGAAGATATCGCCAAGTACTTCTTAAAAATACTTTCTGTTTTATGATGGTCATGAATATAATATACATCACTATATGAGCCATAACCAGATATGCATCACATCTTGGAGCCTTAAGGCAACAAGCCAGGGAAGCTAGTTTGGCAGTGGCTCATGATGCAAGGATTTTGTTGTCTAGAAGCTCCCCAAGGAATCGTCACAGGTACTGTAATGGACAGAAGACAATGGACATGCCCCTAATGTAAAATGTTGCTGTCTGTGCCTTTGGAGAGGAGGAAATTTTATGAAAGAGCTATTTCTATTACATAGTATTTTCACACATCTGGTACAGATCTTGTTAATTGCGAGCTGTGAAATGGTGATAACTTTCTTTACTTGGCCAAGATATTCTCATAAAGTAATCTGGCTTTAGTCAGATAGGAATGCCTTTCAAATAGCACATTGCAAAACATTGCTTTACCTCCTGAAAATCAGTGAGCCCCACAGACTCAATCTTCCCTTTATGTATAGATGCTTTTTTGGCATACCTTGTGAAGCCATTTACTGTGCCTGTTGATTGCACGATATTGTTTCTGGTCTTTTACAAGATAAGAGCTAAGATGAAACCAGGATGGTGTCTAAAGTGGGCAAATTTGTGTATAAATATGCTTATCCAAGAACTAAAGTACAAGCAGATAAAAATGAAACAGTTAATCTGCCTTCTTTGTTTATCACACTAACAGGAAGAAGAGTTCTGACTATAAATATACCCCAAGTGAAAAGGTGAGTGTATTCAGCAATCAGCTAGGGCATTTGTGGGAGCTGCTCACCATGAACCAATTAAGCTTCCATTTCCTGTGACTGCCCAGTTCATTGGCCCTGAAATGAATAAAGATTATACATTTCCTATATTTTGAAAGAACAGAGGTTAGTCTCAGTACTTTTTGGCTGAAGAACAGTTCATGGTTTTGCTTCTAAGAAAACATTTGGATTAAATGAGGGAAAATTACAGCTTTAATTAAACACATGGCATCAAGTCTAATGCTCTACAGATAATGTGAATTGGAACCATCTTTGCCTTGCCTTATCTTACCATATCATACTGAAATATTTTACATGTACACCATGGTGGTATAATCCCAGAAATTACAAAATCATCATTTGACCAATGATCCAATTTTTTTTTCCTGTGTGTGGAACAATCGACTTCCAAAGCTCAACTTTGAGATCTATGAGCACAGTTTCTACCACTCTCTCCCTCTTGCTACAGGGTGGTATGGAAGGGAAAGGGACCCCTTGGAGCCTTTTCCATCCCCTCTCCCCCACATCCCCTTAAGCAGAGAGAGCAGATCAGAAAGGTGGAACCTAAAGCATTGCCTCTCTTCTCCTCTACACCCTGTCTGGCAGCACTGGGGGGTAAGGCAGCAAGCTCGTTACTGTATAAAGCTACTGGCATTAGCCATCAAGTGGAATGAACACGAGAGCAAAGGTTCTCAAACTCTGGTCCACAAAGCACTTGCTGCTGGTCTATTGAGAGCTGGCTAGTCACAGGGCGCTGGCAGCTCTATCTCCTCCTTATATTTACCTGCTAAATCAAAATTTATTTAAAAAAAAAAAAAAGTTAAAATCACTTTCCATGTAAGGCAATTGCTGCAGTTAGGCACACAATGTTACACAACTGTGTGTGTGTGTGTGTGTGTGAGAGAGAGAGAGAGAGAGAGAGGGAGAGAAAGAGGTGTACACAAGACAATCAAGATGGTGCACACTATGAAAGAGATCCCCTGCACTAGAGAAGAGCCAATGGCTAGGTTTGCTTAGAGAAACATTGGATCTGTAATATTAGCTCAGCTTTGCAACATATGTCAAGAAAACTCAACAGCACCTGCAAACACTTCCTAGTCCACCTTCACTACAAACACCAGCATATGCAACTTCCTTCCCCACACAGATGCACTCAGAAGCAGTCCCTGTCTCCTCAAACCTACATTTTACACTGCTCTGCTCTACCTCTTTCACTTCACAACTGTTTCTCACACATCGGGCAACCACAGCACCCCACCACCTACATTATTCAAATCCTCCCAACAAACTCAGTCACACACCTGATTTACCCATCTCATCTCACCCACCAGTCATCCTTCTATTCACCCAGTCTCAGCTCTTTCCTGTTCTGTCAACTTCATCCATTTACTTCCCTTCCTCACTCAAACCCAACCCACAATTACTATGTTCTCTTCACTGTACCTCAACAATAGTGCCAAAACTAGAGCAGGTGTCTCAGACACTGCAGCATTAGTTGACCCCACTGAGGGGCTGGATATTCTGCTTTAACCTTGCTCCAGTGGCCCCTTCCCTGAGCTGCTGGGATCTCTGGCTGGAGGCAGCGCATGGAGCTATGTACCTCCTGTTTGCTTCCCTAGGCCTGAGGAGGGGACCAAAGAAGCTGGGCAACGGGAAGAGGCTGCAAGGTGGCAGAGTAGGATTGGCTTTGGGCTTAGGGGAGGATTAGGATCAGTATGCAACAAGCCTGACCAGAACAGCGGTAACTCCAAAACACCAGCTAAATTTAATTCTCACAACTCATGATAGAGGGGGGTCCCCACAAATTTCATTGATCCAATGCAGCTTCTGCTGTTAAACTGATGCAGGGAGTGATGCTCCACCTATAGGTCTAGCTATGAAATAGCAACAGCTGCTCTCAGGACCTACCAGATGGCAGTCAGTATTGGTTATACCTGGCCACCATAAGTGCTCTGTGAAAGCTACCCTCTGTCCTTAAATCTGAACACCACGGAACTTAAACAGTGGTTTTTGATTTCCTCTTTTGGTGGTGAAAATTTCTTGGTTTGTCTCTCTTCACTGAAATATTGGTAAACTCTAGTTGTGGGGTGCATTCATCAACTGCAGTATAATTGCACATCATCATCAGCTATAATTGGAGTATTCAAAAGGAAAGAAACACAGCAGTTTTACCTTTTTCCCCTTGATCTTTAATTCCTCCCAGTGGGACACTTTTTGAACTGTAGTAGTTATATCATGTACAAATGTGTTTTGTGGGTTTCACTCCTCAAAGGGAATTGAAATGGTATGCTCACTGATGAGCCAGAGGTTTATCTGCCTACTATTCTGTTGCTCTGGGAAGGGGTTTGGTCTCATTACTAAAACTTCATAGCATTTTTTGTTGCTGTATGCTTGGTGTTTACTTCTTTTGCCAACCTGGAGACACAAGTGAAGTTCTACAGATGTTTAAGTGTGATGAATACTGAAAGCATTTGTACTATAACTTGTCACCTTACCCTTTTCTTTTTTTCCATTTAGGATTTCAAGCACACCAAGTCCTTTGTTATTTAGAAGATTTCAGCCTCTTTGAGGGACACACAGTGACTACTTGTTATACAAAATATTAAAGGGATTTTTTTTTAACTCTTCTGCAAATATTTGGATTTGTTTTGAGATGGCATACACTAAAAGCAGAAAGTTTATTGAAATGTCTAGGAGCCGATGTTACAAACCTAATCACGGACTGTACAACTGTTCATATTGTTAAAATACCATTATTTCTCTAATTTAAGGATAGTATGTAGATTTCTTCTCATCCTATTTATGTATATACACAGCAAGGGGACTCATTACTAAGCAAATTTATGCTCATGATCTTTACAGATTAATGTTAGAAGTTTTTTGGCCACTCTAACCTAGTGCTTTGTAGTGTCTACATCTAAAAGACAATGTGAAGGGCTCTAACTTTTGCCGTTTTTTGGTTTTATTAGTGCCATGATTTTTCTAATAATGTCAGACCATGCAGTCAAGTGTACAATTATTGATACTGTACAAGTATAAACTTGAGTTGTTAACTGTGGTTCACCCTCTCTATAATAGAGAACCTCCAAACAGTGTTCTGCTGTGGAGGAGTGCTTTTCAATCTTTTTTCATTTGCCGATCTCTACAAAATTTCAAATGGCGGTCCGGCCTCCTTTAGAAATCTTAGACATAGTTTGCACACCTCAGGTTGAAAACCACCACTGTAGATCAAATGTTCAAATCCCAGTGCTAAAGTGTGTAGCTTTTTTCCTTCTAGGAAGTATATTTAAGATCCGTGAAAGTTTCTTTGCTAAAGATTGTATGTGTGAAGGAAAACAGTGCAGCAAAACTGATGCAGTATTAGTGCCTTGATTTTTCTGTTAAAAGTTCAGTTTTACAAATAAATGACGCCTAGTGTCTGATGTGCTGTCTACTATGAACTTGCTTTTGGAGGTCTGTAACTAGATTAATGGTCTAGTGGTCAACATTAGATTAATGTGTTGCTGAAATATGGTACTCATGGTGGTGTTGAACAGTCTGCTTTGCAAGAAACATTCTGCCTGATATTATCTTCAATTACATGTTCCTTTAGCTCCAAAAATTTCTCATATTTCAACTCTAAAATGACAGCCATAGTAATTAGAAGGGGAAATGTTTTTGTTTTAGCAAGCATGCTTTAGCTGGAACATGCACTTTGTCTGCTTAGTTAAACTTTGACAGTCAGTTTCAATGCAGGAAAGCATCTGTATGTTGGATGGCCCATAAGCATTTGCTGGATTGTCACGGACTTCAATTGGTCATAAATCAGCATCTAGTTTTGTTACTTAAGCTCTGTGCTGTATGTTCTTTCAAATGCTGGTTTGGCAGTGCAAAAATGCCACAGGAGCTTTATTTGAGATAGTAAGATGAAAATGAATACAACTGCTACCTGTGGCCCTGAACTGCTTTAATATTACAGCCAATTTATTTCACTGTCTCCACTTCTTATATACTACAGATATCTGGATCAACATGCAAATTTTTTTCAGAGAAGCTGTGAGAAAACTTTAGGAGCTAGATTCTTTGGCACCAAAATAGGCAGTATGGGATTCTAGGAGAAGCAGAAACTGGATGTTGCTGCTCAAAGTGAGCAGTGACGTTGACATTTAAGATGCCCTCTTTCTCACCCCATGGGGATTAATAGTTCATTTAGTGAACTCTCATTCAGGCTGTCTGTATATTTGTTTGATTAGCTCATGTCTAACAAAACAAGCTACAAATTTTAAATGAATGCTTAGATTATACAATAATTCTCAAGAGGGATTGATTGAAGAGCAGAATATTGTGAACTTTCCCTATACAAATGTAGCTGCTAAAAACAGTGGGCTACAGGGGCAGGCGTAAGCTAAGATTTCTTAAAAGAATTCACACCAAATACTGAGAAAGTCACTTAAAGGAGCAATCCTACTTTTTAATCTTAGCTTAGAGAACATACATCTAACAGTACTATAAATGAGAATATTTTGCAGTTTCATGGGCATGTGAGTGAAACTTTCTATAAAGTCTTAATCTTAGCCCTGAAAAGTTTTCCTAAAAAAGCAATAGGAAAACTATCATTAAACTACTGTGACAGAGGAGGGCAAAGGGTAGGTATAGTACTCTGCATTTTGGAGTAATAGCAGGTAAAGATGAAACTCTACACTTTGACGTTACTGACTGCCTTCGATATATCATAGTATAAGTCCTGTGTTCCTACCAACGGTTGAATTGGGGAATTGGATCTGTACCAGATACCAAAATGAGATGTTACCGAGATTGCAAAATGCTCAAAGTTTGTCTTGTTTCCTTGGGATCAAATGCCATTCAGATAAGTCAGCTCAATGTGATCATTTTTCTCCCTGTACTATGAGCAGCAGTAAAATGAGCAATATTGATAGGTAGTTCAAACCTCTGCTGGTGTTTCTGGTAGACAGGACTGAACTTGAATAAGTTTTTTCATATTTTGATGGGGTCTTCAGGAACAGACTAGAAACTTTAGTACTTAACTCTCCCCAAAAACCTCAAGTTTTTTATTTAGAAGAACAAGATAGCCTCTGCAAGAATGTACTGGTGCACCAAGATTATATAAAAGTCAGTCCACTTCAGCTCATGGGCCTTGCACAATTGGAGGATATGTGGCATGAGCTGCAATGTTTGAGTTCCTGGATATGTCTAAATAAAATGTTACTATTGCACAGAATGATCACATGCATACAATAATGCCATACTTGTAGGCTTTATTGTATTATTATAAGATTTCAGTGACACGATTAAAATTTAGGGAAGCGCAGTTCTTTTCAACAGGAAAGCTATTAACTTTAACTGTATTTTGCACTTAAGTGCTCATTTGGTTTTATCTGGATACTGAAATGTCATCTCAGTAAATAGTGTTTAAACACTGGATAAAAGACTGAGCACTTTATATTTGATTTCCAAAAGTGAATTTTATGAATATGGCAGTTCACAAGAATCATGTTGTACTTGTACTGTATTGAGATCAGAAGTCAAACAAGTATTTGAAAGTGAAACCCCACATTAAATTACAACTGCTGGCCTATTTAACAACTCCATGAGAAAGATGACACTAGTGCTTGGAATGCAGACGCCAACCACCTCATTTTTGAGACTCTTCAAAGTTGGGCTCTAGGAGGAAAAAATGTCGTATTAGTTTCATGTTAAGATGCTCAAGTTCCAATACTGCTCATAGATCAACTTCAGGCTCTAGCAGAATATAAACCATGGACCCATTTACTACTTTTAGTGATCTGCAGCTAATTTTGCAAACATGCCATAAAGAGGTGGGGGAAGCAAAGGGACATTTAGCACAAGTTTTTTAAAAGAGTTTCTTCATGAATATGCAATATCTCCTATATGCATTTGATGTTTACCTACAGCCAAGGTAACTTACCTGCTAACTAGCTTGCAACTAGTTTATTAATGGGGTACTACCAGTTTTACCAGCAACAAGAGAAAAGTCTTGCTACCTACCATTGACTCTCGTAAAAAACAATGAGCAGTAAAGTTAAGATATGAGACTTCAAAGTAGTACACAAACTAGATGAATGAGAAAAATTAGTTCTTTCCTGGAGAAAAGACTCCACATTATGATATAGTATAATTTAAGCCACACGGGAAGATTAATCCTAAATTACTCAAAACTGGAAGAGACTGCCTTATGCTAAAGACATTTAGATTGCTTTGTCTGTACTAAGAAAATTAGTCAGCAGGTAAGAAAGTTACTCACTTGACTGTATGAGGAAGGGATAGTTCAGAAAATAGCAACTCTCACAGCAGTATCTCATGTAACTAAAGGGGAACTCCTGAAAGAATAAATAGTCTAGGTCCACCCCATGCAGTAACTGGCAGAATGAAGTTCCAGGCACAGGGGACCTAGTCCTCATGTAGGAATTTCTGATCTTCCTATTCCCTTAGATCACTGTAGAGTCCATGGAGGATGGGGATGATCAACTAATGGCAGATGACAGAGAAGACTCCTGGTGGATTTGGCAGTGACTTCACTACTCACTTTTATCCTTTAAAATAGGTGTTGTGTGACACTAGTTAACAACACCTCTGCTGTTGGTGCCTCTCTGGTGGAATTTTCTGACTGAACCGTCACAGCCATGATCCCCTGAAGTTAATTAACGTGCAGATATCTGTACCAAACCACCCAAGTCTCAACATTATCAAATGACAGCTCTTAGCAAACAGCAACGTTGTGTCACATGGCAGCAGGTACACACTGTCCGTACACTTGACCAAGGCTCATTTCAGGTCTCAGGAATGGACAGAGTGGCCAAATACATCCTCAACAGCAGGAACAATCGCTGCAGGAGCCTTACATGACACTAAGCATACACTGCTGCCACAAAGTTCCTATTTGCCAACCAGACTGCACATATACCATCCCCAAGAGCAACAGAGTCCTGCTCTCTCCCAGGACCATATGGCTGATTTACCTCCAGGTCACTGGTCACAAAGGCTCTATATTCCACTATTCATCCTCTCACTTTCACACTTATGGTGCAAGAATAAATTAACAAAGGCTGGAGACTCACCCTCAAATTTGAAGTCTGGAAATTTGGTCAGGTCTCCCCCACCATACAACCGCTGAATTTTGGCGATTTCTTCAGCCATGTTTTTCTGGTATTCAGGGCCTACATCAGCTGGACCACCAGCTTTCCTAAATGCAGAAAATGTCCAATGAAAATTTTGATTCTAAACATTTTATACAGCAATTTTATCATTTAAGGGCCTAATCTAAAGAGTAAGATAAATGGCTCTACACTCCCCAAATAAGTAAAGCAATTTAAATATTTTGAAAAACCAGAGGTAGAGAGCGTACCGGGGGTACATTTTTCCCTTCCGGCATTTGAAATCAGACATTTTAGCTTAACTAAAGCTAAAGGAGTGTTTAAAATGGAAAAACGAGAAGCATATTTCTACAAATATTAGCTTGTGTTCCTTTAATAGTGTAAATTCTAAAATCCAATTATTAAGTTGCATTTTTCTAAGTGGCTGTGAATGGAGACTTGGCAACAAGGCATAATTCTGTTCTTAAGCCTTTAAAGTACCTAGACAAAACTTCCTTGAAACATGCTGCTACTATTTTTGAGGCTAATCTGCTGAAAGGGAAGATCAATTTCAAACCAAGTTGTTTAGTAAGAACATTAATACTAGTAGAACGAGGTGAAGAAGTGCCTAGTATACAGGTAACTTGCCACAATTAGGGATGTACTTCCTAGTCTACAAAACTGCACACAAGAGCAGCCCTACAGACTACTTAATGGAAAACAATGTTTAATACCAAAGTGAAGCATCAATTATGGGTGTTATGTTACAAACACATGCTTATAATCAATAACTAGTTTCTCAATTTGAAAATCCATGTTTTCCCCCAGTGTAATACCAACTCTCTCAGATTTAAGATTTATGTATAGTGACTTGAGTCTTTGAACTAAAATAACTGTGTGGGGGTCTTTGACCACAACAATACTAAAGATATGTAGTTTAGTCATTATACATGAACTCACATTATAATAATTTTAAATAGGAGTAAAATCCCTCAATTAGAATATCATTTTATAATATTTACCAAAAATAAGATCTGCTAAAAAGGAACTGAACTATTTTCTAAGCTTTTAAAAGGGGCTTAGAGGTATTAGGAATCCAATTTCAGTGACTTTCAACTAGAGTTAGGTGACTAACTCCCTTAAGTCCCCTTGAAAATCCCAGTCTAAAGAATGATTACATAAAGAAACAAGTTCACTCATTCCTTTGTCCTTTTTAGAAAATACAGTTATTTGTAGATAGAAAAATAATTGAATTCTGCCAGGCCTAATTTTGAAAAAAATTATTTAAGATTTCTGTCAATTAACTTTTTATTTTTACAGTTGTGGGACACTAGAGGGGGTAGGGCTAAGGTAGCACTGACAGCAAGGCTGCAGGGGGCACCTTTGACAGTGGGGCCAGTGACACCAGATCCCTGCAGGCACACAGACTGTTACTGTTATATTTTTGTGTCTGTTTCAGTATGTCAGCTGCAATTGACATTTACTGACAGTTATCCTTTAAAATTGAGTCCTGAACAAGCCTATTTGCATGTATGGGTGTTACATTTCTACAACTTTCTGTCCACAAGTTCTGTGTTTCATAGCTAACAATTCATGTTTTAGCAAAAACAACAAGGAGTACTTGTGGCACCTTAGAGACTAACGAATTTATTTGGGCATAAGCTTTCATAACACAGCTACCACTCTGAAACCTGAAGTCATGTTTTAGACATCTAAACATGGAAATATTGAAGCTTTTCCACCAGCTTCAATACAGATTTGATACCTTATGTTACAAAACTTGATAATTTCCCACCCATATGTAAAAACCATTAGGAGAAAAATACTATGAAATTTAGTGATAGTGTTAATACAAACCATATCAATGAATTCCATTAACCTTATTCTGGCCTTAATTATTGCTTTAGTGCAGATGCTGTCCTCGCTGCGGTAAAGAGAATGAGGAAATGGTTGCTGCACTGATCAGTTTACAGTCTAAAAACCACAAGAGTATTCCCAGATAGAATCATTAGAAAAAGATTTAATGAATGCAAAGAGCTCTTCAATCCAGTAAGAATCAAAAACTACCCACGAATAGTAAGAGTAGCTACACCTAAGTTTTAATTTTAGTAGACAAACATGAAAAGAACACAAATTTACCTAATGCAATACTTATCTGGTGCCAACTGCAGCTTTAAGAGCTCTACAGCAACTGTAGCTAAATCAGTTGTGGACAATTTCTCTTAATGCTCCAAGAACAACTTCCTCCATCATATTATTCGCACCCCCACTCCCCCCCCCAGGTTTCTCATTTTAGTTATTTCTCTAAGTCCACCTCTAGAGAATCCCCTACAGCATGACTCATCCTCCATATGGAAGTATTTCTATTTTAAAAGAATAGTTTCCTTTCCCCATCTCAAAGCTAAGACAACTGATAGTTTGGTACAGATATGCTCTTTTTTATTCCTCTCTTTTCACCATTATCACCAAAAAGGACACAAGGGAAAAAAAACGCGGGTGGTTTGGACACTTTTTTCTACTGATATTTTGGCTGGGAGGGGCTAACAATAGGAGTGCAGCAGCAATGTTCTTTCACTGGTATCTCCATGATCATCTTTCTTTTGAAAAAGTCTAATCTGTGAAATGGATGCTTACTTCCACTCTGCACCACATTTCACTCCTAATGTTTCACTAAGCAATTCTGCAATAAAAAGGTCTTCAAGCTGAGTTTGACATATTTGAGCCAAGAGTCTGTTTTAAATGAAATTGTAACTTCAGAACACCAGTTCCCAAACGGTGGGTCCCAAACCTTGATGGATGGGAGGCACCGTGACCTTTCTTAACAATCTTCCAACCCTGGCCCCCAACCAGCCCCTCTCCCCCCCATGGCCAGGCCACAATCACTATCAGGCTGCTGTCTATCCACTCACTGGCTGCAGCCACTTCCTCTAGATTGCAACTGCCTAGATTCCCCTCCGCATGCTGCTGCCTACAATCCAGGTGAAATGAGAGCAGGATCCAGACAGCAGCAGCAGAAGCTGCTGAGCAGACAGCAGCCTGGCCCTTGCCCCGTTGCAGGGAGAAAGGGGCCAGCTGGGGCTGCAGATCGGGGCAGAGCTGAAGGAGTGAGAGCTGGATAGGGGGCCTGGATGGCAAGCCAAGCCAGAAGTAGTTGGTGGGTCACCTTAGCAAAAAATTTGGGAATCACTGCTCTAGAATGTACTACGGAAGTAGCAGAATCAGTACACTGATAAGTTTAAGAGATTTTGTACAAAATGCTAGCATTACAGCATTTATTAAATTGAATGGGTTTGGTCACAGACTAGGAAAATGTTATTAAATCTAAAAACAATCCGAAGTCTATTGCCAGTGAGATTCTAACCAGTTAGTTAGCTCTTTAGCTTGACCGCAACCAGCCCTCCTTTAAACATACTGAGCGTCTCCTACACCATTAAACAGCTTTTCTTTTGCTAAATATTTCTAATGAAATTGGAATTTGTTGTTTAAGATAATTTTTTGTTAATGCAAAATCTTCCTACAGGTAACAAATGAATAAAAGAGTTTCTTGATAGGTGAGTAACTGGAGACATTTAAATCAGAGATTCTCTCAAAATGTTGATATTCAAATGTAAAATTTTATTTTTATATTACATGATTTTATGGCCCACTATTTCTAGATGAATTTATTCACTTCTTGCATTTTGTTTTTGGAAAGAATAACTGTAATTATTTGAGGTCAGTAAAAAAAAAAGGAAAAGCAGTCAATGTTGGCAAAGGACCCCATTATCTGTTCACATTTTGGATAACTAAACCAACACTCAAAGTTTTATGGCTACTGTTCAATACTCCCTTACCTTCATATGCAGCTATACACAAGTAGTAATATGGACAAAGTCAACTGTAATAACAAACACAATAACTAGTAAAGACTTAAGTCTGAACTTTCTTTTTATTGAGGTGTTCTAGATAATTTTTTCTCGCAAATTATGTATCAAGTGTCAGTCCTCAAGGACTGCATTTCTTTGTGTAATTCTAACATTTCATGAAAGCTTATTTTTGTAACATTCCTCCATGAAGCACAGATACACCCTTTAACACCTGGGACTGCAGTTGCAAAATAAGGAATTATTTCCTAGCCCACCTTCCTCTGGGCTTCAGAAGTGGAAGAATCATTGACTAGAATTTGTACTAGGTCAGTACTTGGGGCCTTTCCATGCTGAAGCTACAGACCTAATTATAAGAGGAATAATCCCATATTAATGTTTGCTAAAAGTTTCATATTAATCTTTTTTACTTAATACACTGAATTACATTTATTGCATTCCAATAACTTACTGGCTCTTCATGTTGTATTCTCTGATCTTGTCTATAAAGAGCTTCTGAACTGGATCAAGTTCCTTCGCCTTATTAAACACTATAGCAGAAAGGCCAATGTTCCTACGCAAGTGTATTGAGATGGCAGAGCGGAAAATGGAGGAAAACCTAAATAGCTGTTGGAGAATCATGATGAACTCGCAGAGGGTTTCAGCTAGAAACAAACAGAAAGCATTAAGTTAGCCGTTTCTTGCAGTTTTTTCTGTACTTTACATTTGCAAAAAGAAAAAAAACGTAGATCAGTTAAAAATGTCAACATTATTAAATGCAGGGAAACACCAAGAGAAAGAAATAGTCCAACATTTTTAAATGAAAGAGTGACAATTTTGCTATATCTGAGAAATATAGTTTTGCTAGAATGTATCCCCTCATTTGACCTACGATTCATATTTCTTCCACATTAAAATGAATTGTCTGAATAAAAAAGTATATCAAAACAAAATGCTAAAAAAAATGAACTGGACATTTTTATTTGTAGTGCTTAGCAAAAATACCTGCATTTAAGTATTCATTTGGCACAGGGCATACTAATTCAAAGACAAAAATAAAGCTGATTAGAAAGTAGGTAGTTTTCATTGAGAATACAACAGGGATGAAGAGTAAGCTAGCAAATCAGTATTATTTGTTTTCATAAAAATACAGTGCTATTCTAAGTCAGAAATGTGTGATCTTTAAACCAACAATGAACCTTTTAAGAAAATCTGACAACACTGACTGACATTTACATGGATCATATTCATATGACCACAAGCCAAGTTTTGTGTTTCTATTTGTAAGTTAACTAGTAATAAAAGGGAAAGATTTTCAATGATAGTCTCAACAATCTCAAAGTTAAAAGGCAGAGTTTGCAGGTAAAGCACCGAAGAAGGAGTTTTATACTTAGCCCAACAGGTAACTACCCTGTGGGGCGCTGCCCGACTAGACGCGAACCGGTTGTTTAAACCCGTCGCCGAGCCGGGTTACCCCGCGGAACCGGCTACTTTGCCCACGCAGCCGAGCGGCCACGGGGCGGAGGGAACGAGCAGGCCGGGGCCAGCCCCGCTCGGGGCGAGGGATCTGCTGCTGACGGGGAGACACAGGGTGGCCCAGCCCCGGGAAGGGCCGGGGGTGGCGGGGCCAGAGGCCGAGGCGAGCCCGTCCCGTCGCGGAGACCGTGGCCCGGCCGCAGGGACTTTCGTCCCCGAGCAGCCAGGCCCGGCGCCGGGCGGGGGAGCGACAGGAGCCGCGGACGGGGCGCCGCGGCCGCCGCTTCCTGCCCGACCGCAGCTCCCTCCCCCCGACCCAGCGGCGGCCGCGGCGCGTTACAGGGGACGGCGGCGGGATCCTTCTGCCTGGCTCCGGCTCCAGTCACCTTGGGGGGGTCACGGCACCGAGCCTAGCGCGCGGTGCACCCTGGGAAGCCCGTCCCAGTGGCAGAGAACTCTGGGAACCGCTCTCCTCGCGTGCCTGCCCCGCCCCCGCGGGTAACATGGCGCCCCCCGCCGCCAGTTAAACAAGTACCTAGAGCCGCCGCGCCCCGACGGAACGACCCAATAACAATCCCAAGCCACCGCCGCCACCAGCAGCAGCAGCACCGCTAACCACTCACCACCGGAAATGAGCAGATCTACTTCCGAGCCAGAGAAACCTAGGCCATTAATCCGGCCGTTAAGTCTCAGCGAAGTCCCGCCTCCTGCGCCCGCTGATTGGCGGGTGGAAGGTGGCGCAGTGGGGGATGCCGGGAGTTGTAGTCCTTGCCCTTGCCTGTGGGGGGGTGGTTGTGTTCGCGCTCCCTCCTCGCCTGGGCCCTGCACAGGCCTCGCCGCCCAATCCTCAGCGCGTTCCGCTCTCCTCAGTGCGGCGCTCGGAAGGCGGCGTAAGGACCCTGCGGAGCCGCCGCTAGCGAGTGGGCGCGGGGGAGTCGGGCGGGCCGCTCCGGTCGGGGCGGGAGTTTCTGCGGCGGGTGAGTGAGGCGAGCGGGCCGGGGGGCCCGGGGCGCCCGAGGGAGGGGCGGGTGGACGGGAAGCGCCGCTCTCCGTATCCGGGGGAGGGGGGCTCGGGCCTGGCTGCGGCTCGTGTTTTGTTTCCGTTTCTCCCCGGCGCAGCGAGTCTCATTTCCGTTTCGGGTTCAAACAACAAGGAGGGAGGCGGCGGGGCCAGGGGCGAGGGGCCGGGAGCAGCCTCCCCTCGCGGGCTCTGTGCAGTCCTGGGGGGCGAGGGCGTCCCCGGGGCGCAGCGTTGCCCGCTGCCGCAGGCTCGGTCCCGTCACATGGCGGCTGTGGGGCGCCGGGGGAGGCCCGATGCTCCCAGCCAATTGCCCGGGAAACCCGCTCGCTTTGTCCCCCTTCCCCCCAGGCAGGGGGAGGCCTGGCTGCTGTCGCAACTACTGAGCCTGGCTGGCGGGCCCTCTGCTCCCCGGGAGTCCATTGTCCAGTCCCCATCCCGAGCTCTCGCTGGCTCCCTCCCAGCTACATCAAAGACCCGTCCCCGCCGGCGGGCAATAAACACGCTTCAGGCGCCCCGCACCTCTCCGCCCCGCGCTGTGTCAGTTCAGTCATGAAGGGGAAAGTGTGGCGATTGCCCGCGATTGTTGTTGTTCTGGGCGCAGCATACGCAATTGTGTCCACTGTGGACGCTGCTGTAAATCTCCTAGTTCTACTTAGTAAGATACCTGTTTTCTGGGACATCCTCTTAACATTTTGTGCTGACTTTAGCTACAAGTGAATCATAAGATCAGTGTAACGGAACAAATGCAAAATGTTGTTTCTTGGTTTCTGTTTTGCTTCACTCTTGTGTGCATTAACCAGTACTTTGTTTTATAGTCAATTTCACTGGTATGCACTAGGTAGTCACCTTTCCCCATTCACACTTGTTTTTGTGTGCCATGCACTACAGTACTGGGAGAGGAAAACATTTTAAAGCACAGTAAAATATGACTTCAAGACCACGAAGATTGGCCCAGGCAGTCAAAGGCACAGAGTTAATGTTAACTAAAAATTTACTTGGATTTCAGTTTGATTGTACCCTTTCACATCCATTGTTTCCAATCTATGTAAATATTTAAGGTAATGTGCTGCTAGAGATTCATGGCTTATATAGCAGAGGGAACCGATTGGTTACTTTGTTCTCTGCTCACAGTTATTGGGCACAGAAACATTCATACTAGTCTGTTTCACAATTACTTGTTTGTATTTGCAAAAAGAACAGGAGTACTTGTGGCACCTTAGAGACTAACAAATTTATTTGAGCATAAGCTTTCGTGGGCTACAGCCCACTTCATTGTATTTGTATCCTTATTCCAATACTTATATTCTAATAGCACTAAGAGACTCTAGTTATGATTGGAGCACCATTTGTTCTGATTTTTTTTATTATAAACAGAAGCGCACCTAATGCCAAGCTTTGGGCACCTTGACAGTTTCTTAAAGTATACTTCACTAACACAGACAGACTACAGCAATTACCCACAGATCACAATAACTGGGCTGCAGCATAAAACAAATGTAATACCCTCCCCTTCCCTCCCGCCCCCAACAGAATTACTGGTCATCCTCCTATCACTACCCAGCCATGCCCTTCTCTGTAAATCTTTATGTTCTGTGGAGAAAAAGAGATGCCTTGAAGTCTGTCCTGGAGGTTAACTAAGCGGTTACAGGACACCCTGCTAGCAGCCTCCTCTCTCTTGTACCGGTGGGTGATGGGGGCATTGTCTAGCTTAGAAGCCTCTGCTTTCCACAACTGTGGCAATGGATCACAGTGACAGAAGAAGTCTCTTGGATAGCTACGTCCTAGGCCATTAGGGTTTTCCAGGTCAAACAAAATCTTAAAATGAAGAAGCCAATGGACTATGATCTAGACCGGTTGAGTTCAGGTTTGATGTGCTCACAAAAAGAAATGCTGCTTAACAAGCCAGCTGCTGAATTCTGCAGCTCCTAGGTAGATTTAAGGCAAAGATAAACATAAGTTTTAATTTCTTTGGCTATTAATCTAATGCTGTCCTCACTTTGGAGAAAGATTAAAAATGATAAATAAGAAAAACCGCCCAAAAGAATAGTTTGACACTAACATACTGCACAAATTAGGTGATCATACCACATGCATTTTCATCTACATGCATTGATCATTGAACTTGGTGAGAGATAAGAGACCTCAGATGGAAAATCTTTTGTTTATTAGGTGTTTTGTAGATTAATACTGAATACATTCACCTACAAGAGGTAACGTAATTTTAAAAAAATAGAAATAGATAACATATTTAATACAATATATTTTTAGAAAAAGTTTTATAGCTGTCAACAGCTTTCATATTTCTTCCAAGGACAGTATGTAATACAAATGGGACAACAAAATCTCTCAAGTATTTTTAAAACAATTTGAAATTTAAATGTTATCATCCAATGAAAAGTAAACCTGACCAGTTCATACAGCATCCAGTAAGTGTAGAAGCCTCCAAAGGAAGAGAACAAAAGCTACCTGATTTAGTTGGGAATTGGTCCTGCTTTGAGCAGGGGGTTGGACTAGATGACCTCCTGAGGTCCCTTCCAACCCTGATATTCTATGATTCTACCTCAGGATGTATGATTTCTGCACCTATATGTCTGTTTAAATTCCAGAATTTGCCTCCTCCCAGAAAAAAACAAAACCATCAACTTACTACTTCCATTTGCCAGAACAAGTATTGTCAACTGCTTTGTGGTTTCTGCATCACCCTTCCATTTTAGAGCTGTGTAATTGGCTTTAGAGTTTGCAGCTGAAAACATTTTTAGTAAATAGTATATGGAATTAACAAATTATTTTTATGTGAAACTATAATGCTCAAATTTTGCTTCCCTATAATTCATGAAACTACTTTAACAATTTTTCTTTTGCAGGCCTGTTTTTGAGACTTTTTAGCCATGACTAAAAGAGATGCAGAGGAGCTGATAGAAATAGAAATTGATGGGACTGAGAAACAGGAGTGCACTGAAGAAAGGTATGTGCTTACGATCAATCAGTATTGCTTACTGCACCTCTACCCTGATATAACACGACCTGATATAACATGAATTCGGATATAACGTGGTAAAGCAGTGCTCGGGGGGGGGCTGTGCACTCCGGCGGATCAAAGAAAGTTCGATATAACGTAGTTTCACCTATAACGCGGTAAGATTTTTTGGCTCCCGAGGACAGCGTTATATCGGGGAAGAGGTGTACTTGTGTCACTTGCGCTGAAAATAGTTTACAGTTTTTATCATATTTAGGTCCTGCTCCTATAGAAAGCAGTCTGTCTTGTCATTGTATTCAGTGGGGAGAAGACTGAGTTCTTATTTAAGAACATAAGAATGGCCATACTGAGTCAGACCAATAGTCCATCTAGCCCAACAGTAGCCAATGCCAATTGCTTCAGAGGGAATGAACAGACGAGGGCAATTATCAAGTGATCCATCCCCTGTTGTCCAGTCCGATCTTCTACCATTCAGACTTATGGACACCCAGAGCATGAGGTTGTCCCTGACCATCCTGGCTAATAGTCTTTGATGGATCCATCCTCCATGAACTTATCTAATTCTTTTTTGAACCCAGTTATATTTTTGGACTTCACAACATCCGGTGGCAATGAGGTCCACATGTTGACTGTGCATTGCATGAAGAAGTACTCCCTTTTGTTTATTTTAAATCTGATGCCTATTAATTTCATTCAGTGACCCCCTGGTTCTTGTGTTAAGTGAAGGGGTAAAAAAACACTTACCTATTTACTTTCTCCACACCATTCATAATTTTATAGACCTCTATCGTATCCCCACTTAGTCATCTCTTTTTCTAAGCTGAACAATCCCAGTCTTTTTAACCTCTCCTTATATGGAAGCTATTCCATACTCTTAATGGTTTTTGTTGCCTTTCTCTGTCCTTTTTTCCAATTCTAATATATCTTTTTTTGGTATGGGTCAACCAGAATTGCATGCAGTATTCAAGGTCTGGGTGTACCATGAGTTTATTTAGTGGCATTATGATATTTCCTATCTTATTATCTGTCCCTTTTCTAATGGTTCCTAACATTGTTAGCATTTTTCACTGTTGCTTCACATTGAGCAGATGTTTTTAAAGAACTGTCCACGATGACTCCAAGTTCCATTTTTTGAGTGGTAACAGCTAATATAGACCTCATCATTTTGTACGTATAGTTGGGCTTATGTTTTCCCTTGTTATTACTTTGCATTTATCAACATTGAATTTCATATGCCATTTTGTTGCCCAGTCACCTAATTTACTGAGATCCCTTTGTAACTCTTCTTAGTCA